GAATATGACATTGTTTTGCCCTCAAGGAGCTCACTCTATCAGAACGACAGACAAATAACAAGTAATTACAAATGCAATGTGATAGATGCTGTGGTAGAAAACATTAAGAAGGCTCGCAGGGAAATAGAAAAGTTGTGATAAACTTTCAGCTGGGTGAAGGATGGTCAAGAGGTTCATCTGAAGGTGAAGACTGCTTCATCTGGGACTTGAAATAATTTTTCATTCATATAAGAATATTTTCTAGGCAAAAGTAAAACTTATGCAAAAGGTAAAAGAACATGATATATTTATGAATATAATGAAGAATAATGGAGCCATGAAGGTGGAGGTGTAGGCAGAGGACAGATAATAGAGGAAATGATATGCCATGTTAAAGAATCCATCCCTTATTCTCTGGCCATCAAGAACCATTGAAGAAATTTGAACAAAGGAGTAAGATGAATAGATATGCCTTGAAGAAAGATTATTGTGACTCTAAGAATTGATATAAAGGAGGTTCTGGCTGGATAGAAGAAGATAAATTAAGAAACTTCTGAAATAGTTTAGATCTAATATATGAGAACTTAAGTGGGTCAGAAGTTCTGGGGTAAAGAAGGCAGTGGCTCAGGGGGTATTTAAATAGCTTTAAATAGCATATTCCAGACATAGAAATCAATTATCTATTGCTAAGAGGTGGGAAGAATTACTCTATTTTCCTATCTTGGTTTCTGTTAATTAACATAAGAAGTCTCCTTCTTCTGGCTATCATTTTCTATATATTTTCATTTCCTTTTCAAACTATTATGCTGAATTTTACTGCTTTTAAAACTCTAGCTTCTTCTAATGTACTTTTATATTTATTTATATCCTAGTTTCTCTTTGATTTTAAGGTTCTTTCATCTAGGTTGAGTTGAAATATTATGCATACATATATCTTTAACATGTTTCTACATAAAACCTTCTAGGAAGCGTTTCTTATTTATTGCAAATTAAACATTTTTATGTAGGCTGCATTTTGTGTTTGTCAAATGAATGGTATTATTTATATAACTAATATGTTTGATGACCCAGTTGAGAGCTCAACGTTTATATATTATTTTTGTGACTCTTCTTTTGACTTTAGCTCTTTGGTTCTAGAATCTTAGAGAGGAAGAGGATAGTCAGAGTTCTAGAAGCTGAAGCTGTCTGTCATTGCTTTAGTCAGAAATCTCCCATGTGAAAACAAAGTGTTTTGTATATAATCTTACATTAAAAATGATACTGGATCTCTGTGGTAAATTATGACAAAAGCCTATTTTAATAAACAAAGAAATGAAGTTAACTAAATGACATATCTCTCAGGAAAATATGCAAAAATCTTCAATAATTCATGATCCTCCATCCACATCTCTTGTGTTCAGGGCATATCAAACTAAACTGAGCCTCTTTATAATAATGAATATAGGTATAATTTATAAACATGACATATTAGTAGGTATTTAGATAGACAACTGATAGATGATAGATATTTTTCAATGTGATAGGAAAATACTAGACATGTGTATTGACAGTCATAGGAAAGGGGAGAAAAATCAGAATATTAGCCCTATAAAGAAAACTCAGGAATGACCCCAGGAGTAAAATAATGCTTGAGACAAGCCTTCAGGAGTACAGTGAATGTGAGAAACTGAAGCACAAAACAAAAAAAGATCAAATTGGATATTACAACTTTCAGAATGTAATTTTAAAACTAGAGAAAACTTAAAGCAAAAGAAAATATTTTCATTTAAATATATGCAAATCAAGATAAAGACAATGTATCAACCTCGTATTTTTATGCTCCTCACTTAAAGCAAAGAACTGATTATTCCTTCAGTCATTAAACCCATCAACATTTTTTCCAGAAAAACTAGAATGTGTTGCATTTTATGTTTGCTTGACAAAGATGACATTAATATTAATATATCCTAACTTTGCAGTTTTAGTAAGAATGAGATTAATTATGGGTAAAATAGTTGCATTTCTGAGCATGAACTTCTATTTCTTCCACTCCAGTGAAACAGGTATCTACTATTCTGCCTCTTTCCTTATACATGTTTCTATTGAGTATACGTGTAAGAGTCACAATAAGACTGAGGCAAATTTATTAAGTATTTTTATTTTTCTCACTCTTACATTGGAATAAGTTTGAATTTTATTGATAAAAATTTACAATGTCTTTATCTGTAATGGTAGTACAGACATAAATTGGATAGTGAAAACATGAGCTATTTTCTGTCCTGAAAAATATCCTTAGATGTGTAAATCAGCAAGAGATACATTATAATATCTTAGCCTAATATATGAAATGATATCAGATTGATGCAAGCCATGTAAAAACCATAATATTGTTCTGCAATTATACAGCAATTTCTTTCTTTGATCTCAAATCAGAACATAAAATTATCTTTTTTTAATATGCCTACATGAGATAAAAAAGCAAAACAAAACAAAACACCAAGTTTAAGTGTGAGTTAATGATTTCTCCAAGATTACAATGTATGGAAAGCAGTTAGTACTCATCCCTTATTCCTGGTTACTAGTTAATCCATCAGTGAACAAAACAACGTTTTATCTCCTGCAGCCTGGTCTACATTAGATGTAATTTGCAACAACCAATTTCATGAATCACTTCCTGTGACTTTATGTGCAATGTTCTGACTAGAATTCTTTATTATATCTTATTTGTGAAGTTGAGTATTGAGAGTATTGTAATGATCTAACCTTTTCAAAATCCTATACTCTATATTGACACCAAAAGTTAGGAATAAATTCAGATTGGAAATCCAAATGAAACTTGCTGACAAATTGGAAACAGAATAAATAACAGAAACAAAATCTTACAATATTTTAATATTATTGCAACCAGGGGGCAGTAAAATTGATTCATTAATACTAACTTTTTTTTTGCCGATTGTGGGGCCTGAACTCTAGGCTTGGGTGCTGTCCCTCAGCTCTTTAGCTCAAGGCTACCACTTGAGCCACAGTGCCACTTCTGGCTTTTTCTGCTTATGTGGTGCTGAGGAATTTCGAACCCAGTGCCTCATGTATACAAGGCAAGCACTCTACCACTGAGCCACCTTCCCAGCTCCATCATTAATACTAACTTTGTAAATGAAAGTAGCAATTGCATTTCCTTTTGGTAATAGCATATAATGCTAAAGTAGAAACTTCAAACTATAAACAAAATATATGTACATTTGTACTGCTTGTGTATGATCTCCTGTGAGGATAGTATATTTATATTTTGTTTGTATTTATTTTAATAACTTATTTTACATAAGCATGCATATAAAGAAAGAATTGTACATAACATTGATGGACACATAATAAAGACTTCATTTTATGACCTTAAAAGCATAAAGCAGTAATGGAGGGAAAACAATATTTTCAAATTAAGGTCACACTAATGAGATTAGTTCTTTGTAAATATTTTATTTTAATCTACAGAGAAGTAATTTAGAAACCTTTCTAGGAAAGTATATTTATATCCATAGGAAGCACAGAATTTTTTTTCCACTTCAATAGATACACATTACTTTTTTTTTGTTGTTGTTGGTCGTGGGGCCTGAACTCTGGGCCTGGCCACTGTCCCTCAGATCTTCAGCTCAAGGCTAGTGCTCTACCACTTGAGCCACAGTGCCACTTCTGACTGTTTCTGCTTATGTGGTGCTGAGGAATCGAACCCAGGGCCTCATGTATGCAAGGCAAGCACTCTACCACTGAGCCACCTTCCCACCCTCACACTGCAAATTTTTGCCTCTCCAAAATTATAAAACTTGAAGCATGTAACCATTTTATATACTCCAAATATCCGAATGTTTTACATTTTAATACAGCTCTAGAAATTAAGTTCAGAGCTTTGTGGATACTACACAAAAGTATATCCACTGTGCTACGCCTACAGACCCACATTTCTTTTTCTTCATATACACATTCATGTCACTTAACTCTATTCCTTCAGTATGCCAACTGGTGACAGGTGGCAGAAAGTTAAATTGCTATGGATATCAGAAAGTTTGTTTGTTTTTGCGAATATGGTGTTTAATGTTGGGAAATGATAGTACTGTTGGCTTGAAAAGTGTGTTCCCTAAATGAAAAGACTGGTCACTGTTTTATCTTAGCCAAGTAGTATTTAGCCAACTAGAATGTAAACTCAGTGTTTTCAGATCTTCAGATTGCAAATGGAGAGGGGGGAAAAACACCATTTTCTGTAGTGTTAACAAATCTATAACCATATCATTGTGTGAGTTAAATAAAGCAAGTCAGTAGGCTACAGCAGGCAGGTAGGCTTGCAGAGACATGTTTCAGAAGTGATGATGTGCACCATAAGAAATATTCTGGTTCTGGTCATGATTTCTCTGTCTTTGGATATTTCACAGTCTACGTAACTTGTACTTTCTATTTCTCTGCATGTGACTATGAAAGACATAGAATAATCTCATTACATCCTTATAGAAGGAAAGATTTTTCACCAGTATACGTTGTCATTTGTACCTATGTATTTTTTCTGTCTGATATCTTCATTTATGATTGTTCCTTCCATCACAGTACTAATGGTTCCCTTCAATAAAACTTGATTAGGAGTCTTGGAATATAAAATCTGATTCTTTAAATTTAAAATACAGGACATGTAAATATAATTTTATACTTTTTTTAAGGAAATAAAGTATTTTTTTCATCATTCCATCCATGTTTTGTTTGAAAATTTGCTTATAACAAAATGGAAGTTGTAATAGAATTGATTAAAGGAAATCACTATTTTCATTAATTCATTCCTCATCCATTAAGTGAATTTTTATTAAATAAGCTTTTCTTTAACCAAAGCTATATGGCAAAAAACATAATCTAACAACATTGGAAGTATGTACGTCATACATTAGATCTAAAAAATTATTCTACAGAGAAAAATTCAGTCCTCAATGTAATGAGTTGTAACCTGAATTTTAGACTGTCCACATCTCCTCTGCTGTTGCTTTATTTGTTTGCTTCATTATTTTCAGGAGGTAATGCTTCGCAGTCAAGATATGAAAAGAAATGAACAAGAAACTTCCAAAAGACACGGAACTGATGTTCTCAAAACAGAAATGGTAACTATTTAAGAAAATAGGTCTTTCCAAATCATTTCCGGGACTGTATAGAGGTCCTGATTGTATTGTGAAGATTCACTTTTATTGACTCCCTACTTTTGAGTTAGATTTATTTTAAAATTAAAACAAATCCCAGAAGTATTATTGTACTTTTGGTGCCATTCATATGGTTTCTGTTAATACTTTAGCTGCTGAATTCAAATCAATGATAAAAACTTAACTAGCTTATCTCAGAGTAAAGTCTTAGATGAAAATTACTGTCAAATGAAGAATATTATTTGCATTGCTCAAATGTTTGTCATCTGAAAAAAATATCTTTATGCACAAGGTCTCCCATCTTGAAAAGCATGCTGAGGAGATAAACAAAACTTCTCAATTCCAGCAATATGTTCAAGAGACAGGTAAGTGTCTGGGATTATTGGCTCTGATATATCTGTCTCCTGTTTGAGTTTGGACGGAAGACTTCTGCAGTTCAGTTCTCCCTACTGAGTAAATTTGGGGCTTATGATTTATGGTCCCAAAGGGGTACAAGAACATTTTCCTGCACATAGTTAGATCTTGCCCATGGTAAGAGATGAAGTGGTTTCAAGGCCCTCTATTATCTGTTAGCCCTATGATGTATTCAGCCCAATGACCAAAAAGTGATGAAATAACCACTTGTAAGTTCCATTTTGCCCTAATGATATAGAATTAAACTCTGTGCTTTTCAGACTTCTAGACTTATCCAGATTTTATACTTATACTTTTCCAGATTGTATTAAGTTAATAATACATTTAAGCAATATTAAGGGCAGTTTACCAACTTACAGATAGGAGCTTAGGCTTTATGAAAATTTTAACAAAATTTCATAGATCAGGGAAAAGTTGTCTTGTAGGAGAAAGAGTTTTGCTATCCTAAAGAGATAAAAGGAAAGTTTTAATCTGTGTCACAAAATATCACTTAATTAATTATTGTTTACTTGATCCTACTGCCAAAGAAAGTAGGCTATCTATTATTCTTTTCTTTTGAGTATTTTTTATATTTTTTATATATTTTTATATATTTTTTATTGTGAAAATACCATACAGAGGGGTTACAATTACATGAGCAAGGTAATGAGCACATTTCTTAATAAGCATTGTTGCCTCCACCTTTGTTTCCCCTTCCCATCTCTCCCCCGCTCTGCACCAAACTTGTAAAGTTCATTTTTCGATATAACATCTTGTACATCTCATTGTTGCAATAGATTTTTTCCAGAGCCTAGCAGTATAAATTTTAGCAAATATCTCAATCCACCGATACCTATCAACATTTTTCTTCCTTTTCTTCCCTTCTTAATTTTTCTTGTTATAATCCTAAATTATTTTTTTATATTTCTAAATTATATATATATATATCTTAGTCTCATGTATCATTTAATCTATGTTTTTACATGCTTCTATTAGAACTGTTTTTTGTCAAAAAACTTTTTTCATATTATAATACCTCTTGTCCTCTTACGTTTATAGTGATTGACACACCCGAGGATGAAGAGATTCCTAAGGTTTCAACTAAGCTCTTAAAAGAGCAATTTGAAAAATCTGCCCAGGGTAAGGTCCTCTATGCTGACACAGAGACAACATCCCCAGCCAAGCAGATTAAGGTAAAGTAATTTCTCAACATAGAAAACATTAAGTGTAAAATCATATTAAGTGTAAAATCAGATTTCAATGTATAAAAATTAAAAGTTACTGAATCACAAGACATTTTCTCCCACAAGAAAAACTAACACTTTTTCTGTTCCATAAGGAAGATATTGATCTACATGAGAAAACAAGCAGAGTAAAAGCTTTTTCAATTCATCAAATGAGGAAAGAAAAAAAGATGTATGCTATAACGTCTATAACTAACATTAGATAAAGTAATTAAGTCAGCTTTAAATGTCAGATTCTTATTCCGTTCTGTTTCAAATTCCAAATATAATGAAAAAACCCTCAAAAGAACTTCAAGACTTTACTATTTCCCTGTAGATCACTGCACAGTACATTTAGTAAGGGGGGATATATTAAAGTACTGAGCACTGATGCATTAGACTTTATCTGCATGGATTATAGTAAAAGCAGGAAAGAGTGTCTTTATGTATTTCGATTCAGTGTTTTACCTGTTTCTCCAATGAAGATATCACAGTGGTCCTGTTTGTATGAGGGTAGCACCTCACTGTACTCATCTTTAAAACTTTGGTTTTCTTTTCCCTAAAGATCAAAAGTGAACATGAAGCAACTTTTAAACCGTCATCAGCTGTGGGCACGTCTTCTGCTTCTTACACATCAAGTAGCCAGGTGAAGGAAACATCAGCTTCAACCTACAGCGAATGTGGTGTTTCTTCCTCAAAGTCTGCACAAGTTAACGCCACACTTTCAAGAAAAATGGAAGAATTTCCTCCTCCCCCACCTGATGCACTTCAAACTCCAATAGATGTGACAGCATTTTCCCAGTCCCCTGAATTCCCCAGCCTTCCAAGCAAACTACCAATCCCCAAAGATTTATATTCCAAACAAAGAAATTTGTATGAATTGAATCGATTATATAAACACATCCATCCAGAGTTAAGAAAAAACTTAGAGAAAGCTTATATCAATGAGGTTTCTGAAATTGTATCTAGCCAAATGGAGTCGGGGAACTCGGCCACAGCAGATGTGCAGCAAGCCCGGTATGTTTTTGAAAACACAAATGACAGGTCTCAGAAAGATCTGAATTCAGATAGAGAATACTTGGAGTGGAATGAAATTCTGAAAGGGGAGGTGCAGTCCATAAGATGGATCTTTGAGAATCAGCCACTAGATTCTATCCACAATCATTCTCCAGAGCCAGGTAATGTTTCCAACAATACTGCTGACCACGAAATCATTGCTGGCAACGATGTGAAGTACACTACATGGATGTTTGAAACACAGCCCATAGATACACTGAGCATCCCTTCTTCTGTCACTGAAGTAAATGCTAAGAAAATTCCTGAGCTAGCCAAAGGTGATGTCCGCACAGCCCGGTGGATGTTTGAAACAAGGCCCTTGGATTCAATGAATAAAATGCATCAAAGTCAAGAAGAAGGTACATCAATGGTTACTAAGGACATAGTGGGAGGAGATGTTAAGACCGTCAGATATATGTTTGAGACCCAACAACTGGATCAACTTGGACAACTTCATTCCGTAGATGAGGTTAACTTATTGCAACTCAGGTCTGAGCTCAAAGAAATTAAAGGGAATGTTAAGAGAAGTATCAAATGTTTTGAGACCCAACCATTATATGTTCTTAGAGATGATTTTGGTCAAATGCTAGAGATTAAAACCGTTCACAGAGAAGATATTGAAAAGGGCGATGTAAGAACAGCACGTTGGATGTTTGAGACACAGCCCCTTGACACAATTAACAAGGAGATCACAGAAATTAAAGTTGTCCGGGGAATATCTATGGAAGAAAATGTCAAAGGTGGAGTGAGTAAGGCAAAGTGGTTATTTGAAACTCAACCTCTGGAGAAAATCAAAGAAGAGTCAGAAGAGGTCATCACTGAAAAAGAAAAAATAATAGGTGCAGATGTGTCCCATAAGTGCTGGATGTTTGAAACACAGCCATTAGACATTCTAAAAGAAGTTTCTGAGGCAGAGCCTGTATCACCTGAAGAGATAGTAGGGGGTGATGTACAAACCACCAAGCACCTATTTGAAACACTGCCAATAGAGGCTATAAAAGACAGTGCTGATGTAGGGAAGCTTCAAAAAATCACTGCCTCTGAAGAAGAAAGAGGAGATGTTAGACATCAAAAATGGATTTTTGAGACCCAACCGCTGGAAGAGATCAGAGAAAATAAAAAAGAGTACACACATACAGTGAAACTTGAAGAAGTTGACAGAGGAGATGTCAGGAAATATACACACATCTTTGAATCGAACAACTTAGTTAAACTTGATGCATCACATAAAATAGAAGTGGAAGGAGTCACACAAGGTTCTGTGGAATGGAATAAATCTCTCTTTGAGACGACACCACTGTATGCTATTCAAGATCATCTTGGACAATATCATCAAGTAAAGACAGTCCAACAAGAAGAAATCCTACGAGGTGATGTGAGAAGTTGCAGATGGCTTTTTGAAACAAGGCCCATTGACCAGTTTGATGAAAGTCTTCATAAGTTTCAGATAATTAGAGGAATATCTGCCCAAGAAATGCAGGCAGGAAATGTGAAATCTGCTAAATGGTTGTTTGAAACCCAACCTCTTGATTCAATTAAATATTTTAATAACATAGAAGAAACAGACAGCAAATCTGAGCAAGCTATAGATATTGTCAAAGGTGATGTCAAGACCTGTAAATGGCTTTTCGAAACCCAGCCAATGGAATCTCTTTACGAAAAGGTTTCATTAATGACTGACCGAGAGGAAATTCATAAGGGAGATGTCAAAACTTGTACTTGGCTCTTTGAAACTAAGCCACTTGATACCATAAAAAATGACTCTGAAACAACTGCAAAATTGCAAACTGTGAAACAGGATGATGTTCATGGTGGCGATGTTCGTACAGCATGTCTTCTTTTTGAAACAGAAAATTTGGACAGCATACAAGGAGAGGAAGGAAAGGAAATCAAGCCTCCGGAAATGGATATCCAAGCTGGGGATGTCTCCAGCATGACGTATAAATTTGAAAGTCAGTCTTTAGACTCCATCAGTTCTAGTTCAGCAGAAGTTCTGAAACAAATCAAAACTCTAAAATCTGAAGATATTCAGAAAGGCAATGTTTTAAACTGTAGGTGGCTGTTTGAAAACCAACCTCTTGATTTGATCAAAGAAAGTCAAGAAGGTGACGGACTGGTTAAGACAGTGACAGACATACAAGGTGGAGATGTGAGAAGGGGATGCTTTATTTTTGAGACTTATTCTTTAGATGAGATTAAAAAAGAATCTGACTATATCAGCACCAAGAAAACAATCACTGATGAAGCAATAAAGGGTGATGTAAAAAATTACAGAATGCTATTTGAAACCCAGCCTCTATATGCTATTCAGGATCAAGAAGGCTGTTATCATGAAGTAACAACTGTGAAAAAAGAAGAAGTAATTCATGGAGATGTTCGGAGAACAAGGTGGCTTTTTGAAACAAAGCCTCTAGACTCAATTAATGAATCAGGAAATGTGTATGTTATTAAGTCAGTCACACAAGAGGATATTCAGAAAGGAGACGTTAGTTCTGTCAGATACAGATTTGAAACCCAGCCATTGGATCAGATTTCAGAAGAATCACACAATATTGTGCCCACTGTTGATAATATTCAAGGTGGCAACGTGAAGTCAAGCAAACGATTCTTTGAGTCTGAACATGGTGGTCAGAATAATTATATAAGAACAGTAAGTGTCAATGAAATACAAAAGGGCAGTGTTAAAACATCCACCTGGTTATTCGAAACCCGCACTATGGAGGAGCTGAGAGGAGAAGGGTCAGAATACAAAAATGTCAAGACAGTCACCCAGGAAGAAATGCAGAAGGGTGACGTGAAGCAGGCAGTGTGGCTTTTTGAAAACCAAACGTTGGATTCTATTAAGGAAACAGATGAAAACACCACAACACTGACCAAGGAAGAAATTCCTCTTTCTGATGTGAAGACAACTACTTGGCTATTTGAAACCACACCTATGCATGCCTTCAGTGAAAATCGGATTGAAAGGGTAGAGATTATTGGCAAAAGCATTAAAGAAACACTAGCAGATCTTTACTCTCAAAAAGTTATTGAGTCTCCTGGGATTATCATAGAAGCTGATGAAGTTGGGGATGTCCGAATGGCAAAATACAAGCTAATGAACCAGACATCTCCTGAGATACAGAAAGAAGAGGTCATCAGAGTTGATCTCAGAAATATAGTCATGAATTTGCTTTCCCAAAGAGACTATATAAAAAATAAGATATTGGTTAGTGAAGAGGAGAAAGGAAATGTTAACTTGACCAAATCACAATTATTAAATACATCAACAAAATTTCATGCTGAAAAGGAAGAGATAGTGAGAGGTGATGTACAACAAGCCATAAAAAACCTGTTCTCAGAGGAAAAGTCAGCAAAGAAAGGGATTGTAATTCAGGAAGATGAAAGAGGAGATATTAACATGACAATCTATTGTCTTCTGCATGAAAATCCTAATGACACAATCAAGCGTGAAGAAGTAATAGGAGGTGATGTGAAACATACTATTCACCATTTAGTCTCCTCTGCATCAAATAGCAAAGTCTCTGAAAGGGCTAAAATTGACACTTCTGAGAGAGGAAATGTTCAATTTTTCACAACATGCATAGAAACAGGAGCTTTGGATTATCTCAAACAACTCCAGACAGGTTCAGATGAAGCATTAACAACTAGGAAGCTGGAAGAAGAGGATGGAATAATCTCTGGTGATGTTGAGGGGACAAAACTGTTACTAAAGAAAAGGCAGCCTCAGGTTGAACGAACTGTTAATGAAACTGACATCATCCCCGGAGATGTCCAGAATACAGTTAAAGTTTTTATGACAGAGCCTCAGAGTACATCTGATCTGATACCCAAAGAAGAAATTATAAAAGATGATCTGAAATCAACCCTGAATTCCCTCAACCAGGCTATAAATAAAAAAACAGTGGCTAAAACGGAAGAAATTATAAAAGGTGACATGATGGCCACACTGAAGTCACTCAAAGAATCAAGTGACAGATGGAAGGAATCAAATCGACAGTCCAATGTCAACCCTCCAGACATTGAGCAAACTATTGAGTGCCTTGAAAAGGCTACAAATACCAAGACAGAAATCCTGAAAAGGGAGATTATTCGAGATGATCTTGAAATATCATTAAAGTCTTTGCAAGAAGCACACAGAGCTTTCAAAGAGGTAAATAAAGAAGGTATAATGAAAAAGAATGTCCAAACTGGAATGGTAGGGTTCTCAGAAAGGGAGAACACAGAGACTCATCAGATGGCTAAACAGAGGGACCAAAAAAGTGTTTTTCAGCCAAGGCCAGGACTATTGGAACCAGCAACTGCGTGGCAAGTGGAAGCAGACATTGCCAAAGAAACTACAGGCAACACTGGTCATGGGATTTTAACGAAAGGAAGAACTGACATTACTATTCCAAGTGCCCCAAAAGGTACTGTAAAGATAGTCATAGATCGTGAACAAAACAATGATGCTCTTGAGAAAAGCCTTAGAAGAATAGGTAATTCACAATACAAAGCTATGGCAAATGTGTTGGAAAGAGGTGATGAAATAGGTGTCTGGACTGAGACCACCACCGAACAGCAACTTAACAATGAGCAAATGAACAAACAATTAACCTCATCTATGCCAAGGAAGAGAAACCAAAAGGCTATGGAAACAGAGACTATGAGAAACCTCCAAAAGGATGATATCTATAACTCCACCCAGTGTATTGATAAAACACTTGGAACACAACACATTCAAAACTGCAAAATGAAGAATAACCATCAAAAGACTGAGGCTTCCCATTCATGGGCTCCTAAAAATACCACAAATGCTAAATTATCGATAGAGACTCAAAACTGCACATGCAGTCCCAGCCAGCATCCAGTCAACCAGCCAGTTGGAGAAAAATATGAGGTGACAAGGGACTTTCAGAACCACACTCTCTTCAAGCGAGAAAATCAATATTCTAATGCAGATACAAAGAAAAATAACATGAACCTTCGACCTTTGCCTGTAAATCAAGACATATCAAATGTAACAGAAGTGAAAACCGACAGTAAACATTACAATAAATTCAAGGTAACTGACAAAGAACACAAAACCGATGTCCATCTGGAAAGCCAGGACTTTTTAATGAAGACAAATACTTCCGAAGAATTAAAAATGGCAATGGAAAGGTCTTTTAATCCAATCAACCTTAACCCTGAAAATAATGTAAAAGAAAGTGAGTGCTCCCTTCCACCTCCATCTCCACCTCCTCCTCCGCCTTCCAATGCATCATCTGAAATTGAATTTCCTCTTCCTCCTCCACCTGCTTTAATGCTGTTGCATGAAAAAAATGAGTTTCCTCCCTCATCATCCACCGAGAAGATAAGAACTGACTTTGAAAGTGTCCCTGGCCTACCTCTTCCTCCTCCTCCACCAGTAGGTGAGAAATCTGAAAGAGAATGTCTATCCATGCTTCCTCCCTCTCCCCCTTCTCCCGCTCCATCTCAATCAGCACATCCTCTTTCCACCTCTGTTCCAGAAAAGCAGAGTGAAGCATTCATGCATCGATATTCCCCAGAAGAAGCCTCAAGATCTCAGCAAACTCATTCTCAGGCGAAAATCACCAGAAGAAAATCACCACCACCCACGTTGCCCAAACCCAAACTACCGAAGCAACTTGAAGCAAAAATGAACTATCTTTCCTCAAAAGTTGAATCGGAAAGTTCTCTATCTGATATGCAAAGCAAAACTACTCTCTCAGAGCATCAGAAACAAACAATGATGGCAACTGGCTGGGAACACAGAGAGACAAATCAGGAGGTACTCAGAAAGAGTCTTGATGAAAGAAAACAACTATCTATTGACTCTGTCAAGTCTCTCTCACAGTCAGTTCTAACATCTTCAGTCATCAAAGGAAAAGAGACAGCACCTCTCATAAAATCCCACTCATTTCCATCAAGTTCAGAACAACAAAGTCCAAAGCCTTATGTGAGAAAATTTAAGACACCTTTAATGATTGCAGAAGAAAAATACAAACAACAAAGAAATGAGCTTGAAAAGCAGAGACAGGAGAATTCTCATTACAACATTGTCAAAGCAGAAAGCCAAAATCAAAGTGTATCTGAGTTGGAGAAGAAAATGCTGATAAAAACAACAAACACAGAGGACTCTCTAGCCAGAATGGATACAGAGCTTCCTATGGTCAAATTCAACCCAGATTCCCAAAGCAATGCTGCAGTTCTAGACATATGCTCTGACAGCCAACACTCCATGACTTCAGCAGTGACAGCTGCTACCAAGAAGCTCCAGGATGTTCTAGCAGCCTCCAAAGATAAAAGTAATATGAAAAAGGAAGTTCTACAGAACTCAAGGGATATTGTACAATTGAATTCAGCTTGTGAAATTAACCAGGTTCAACAAGAACCCTGGGCACAGCAAATACAACAGGAGAAGTATCAGAAGCAGTTCCGCTTGTCCCAATGCAAGGCAGTTTCTCCAAGTTTCAAAGTCAAAACCATTAAACTTCCAACTCCATTGAATGAAACAGACCACAGCTTTGGAAGTTGCATAAAACAATCTGAAGTTGAGGCTCAGACCACTACCAAACAACTGCATCAGGAAACTAAGAAAACTCAAACAAGCACAGAATACAAAAATGAGTCTGTGGCTGAAAAATATCGTCAACTACCTAAGAAGGAAAAAAGAATGACAGTATCAATGCCTTCAAAATCTGCAGAGAAATGTCATGACAGCAACCTCCAGAAAACTGCTGAGATGACAAGTGAATTTAGGCAATCTGTGAGAGAGAAGCTTCCAGGGGATAAAGGAAATAATCAGGGACTATCAATAATGAGTCTAAATGAACAGAGATTAATAGATGAAAGACAACAAATATGTTTGAAGAAAAAGTCAGAACCAAAGGTAGTACAACAACAAATGACTGATGTTGAGTCACAGACTAGGAGTTTTCAGCAAACACAAATGCAGACTTCTGAAAGTACAGCTGAACATAACAAATTGTCCACACCGTATAATACACTTCAGGAAACAAAATGTGTCAGAGGCAAGGACACACCACAGAAACAAGTCTTTTCTGAGACTAAAGATTCAAAGCAAGAGATTACACAGAACAAATCTTCATTTTCCTCTGTGAAAGAATCCCAGCAGGAAGATGGAAAAGCTGCCATAAATATACTGGAATTCTTGAGAAAACGTGAAGAAATACAAGAGGTCTTGTCAAGAATAAAACAGTTTGAAGCAGAACCAAATAAAAACAGTCTTAAAACCTTTCAGACACTGTTAAATATTATTCCCTCCTGGCTGGTAAGTGAAGAAAGAAGAGACCATGGGATTCAGATGTCCATGGAGAATAATTTAGAAAAAATCAAAGAAGAAATAATGCATATTAAAACCCAAGCTGAAGACAGGCTTGTGTCCTGTGAAGATATAATTCAGTCCGCCATGATGGCCTCCAAATCAGGAAAGCAGGAAACAAGAAGGCATAAGCCTGCTAGCCTTAATGACACATCATTCAAAGTGCTGAATGTTAATGCCAACTCTAATATAAACAGGAAACAGAAAGAACATAAAATCATAGAAGAAAAAATAGCTCACCATCAAGTAGAAACGCATCATGAAGCAATTGCTCAAGATCATGAACAAAAACATCAGGAAAGGAAGCTAGAGAACAGCAAGATTTCTCCTCCCTCTTTAAAAACTCCCCCACCATCACCCACTTTCATAACGATTGAATCCACTCGAAGACCAGAAACATCCTCCAAGGAAGAGCTTTCTCAAGCCTCTAAAAAGGAGAACTGTCCTGAACCCTCACCAAGAGGATCCATGGTGCAAACACCTGGAACTCAAAAAGCAAACACCTCCCCTTCTCCACCCCGGAGTCGCTCTGAACAACTTGTCAAACTCAAAGACACCACGGCAAAGTTATCCAGGGGGACCATCCCAGGTCCTCCAGTGACCCCAGTTCCAATTGTAGAGAAGAGGTCTGAAATTGTCATGTCTCCTGCAACTCTGCGTCGTCAAATTAAGATAGAGAAGCGAGGTGGGGACTCTCCACCTACAATCACCATACCTGTACATGTAAATCCTGTGGGCAGTGGATCCTTCAGGGAATCCGTGGGAGCTCAGGAGGAAGTGAGGAGAGTAGAGCAAAGGGAGATGTATGTTCACAAGGATGGAGTCAATGCCGGGGACAGCCTCATGCCTGATAGCCAGAGCTACGACGCGGTGGAAATCATCCGCAGGGTCGAGGGGCCTCGCCTGTCAGAACACACCCAGAGATATGAAGCTGCCAATCGAACGGTTCAAAGGGCCGAGAACTTCGTCAAGGAGCGTGAAAATGAAATGGACAGATGGTTCAGGGAATTTGAGAATGGCCCAGTTTTTGAAGCAAAATCAGAGAAGAGAGTCTATGCCAATGGAGACGCACACCATAACAGACAACAAGAGGGTCGTGCATTCTGTAAGGACGAATTTGGATCTCTACTAAACCGTCATTTTGCAGGCTTTGCTTACAAACAGCCTAGGGAACGGCAAGAAACAGTTTCTGTGCAGCAGCCCAGGGTTTGCTCTGACACGAGGTCTGTGAGCGAACGCTTCTCAGGCATTGAGACCTTTGAGAGCCAAACTGTGGGCTCAATGACAGCGTCCTCATCGCTTAGGTCAGAGGCTGGCAAGTCAGCCCTCGACTTCAAGCACGCTCCTCCAACCTATGAAGATGTTATCGCTGGCCACATCTTAGATATCGCTGATTCACCTAAAGAACGCAGGAGGGATTTTCAAGAGACATGGCAGGAAAGTGGGACGGTTTTTGAAAGCCTGGGATATAAAGCATCAGATGTATCCACCACGGAGATGAGGAGCGCTTTCCAGGAGTCTGCCTTTATAAGTGGTAAAGGAGCCTGAAGAGCGGGAAGGGCGATTAACCCACCTACAGCTCTCCCTGCATGGTTCGCAACTAACTGTGTGGAAATAACCACGTATGGCATCCTAAAACTAATGGTCTCCCCTGTACACTAATACCTTCTTCAGTCTGCTTTCTTTCCAATGGCATTGTGTGAGAATAATAAAACCTATCAAATAGAATATTAAAACCTATATTTGTCAAGGTAAATGAGGCTTTGCATTACATAGCAAATACGTAAATAGTTGTTGTGATTAGTAATTACACTACCGTATACATAAGTAGCTTAGATTACAGGGCATTATTATTTCACTTATTTGTTTAGGACAATATTAGGTGATAATTCTTTGGCCTAATATTGATGAATTTTAATGGCATATTTAATTGGTTTCTACACTAAATTTAATACGACTTAGTAATCCAAGAAAGGGCTCACATGTTAACGATTTTTTTAAATTGATATGTATCTCTGGTATAAGTGTAGACTTGGAGTAGATATTTTATATATTTCACCGGTACTGATTTAGATAAAGTTTATCTTTCTCTGATGTTATATGTGTGGTTTCCTAACTGATTTTTTTACCTTCCTAAAGACAGATTAAGTTACAACTAATTTGACCTTACAGATGAACATAAAAAATACATATTGAAACTAGATTAGGTCCAAAAATGTGAAAATTAAATCATATAATCTCATGACATGGACTTTTAACATGAAAATAGAGCTGATTTTGTTGTATTTCACTGCTTTTTACAACTAATGACTCTTCATGGTAGATGTATTTGACATAATGTGCATCCTTAATATAGCCCATTCTATTAGACACGTTGTAAGAATAGTAAGCTTAAAAAATAAGAACTGCTGAAATTCATAATTATGCTTGTCTTTTATTTGTAACACAAGTATCTAGTTTATTGGGTTACTATGGTTTCTTAATAGACTGCTTCTGATATAATTAAACAATGCTGTCTAATTAATTTCAAATGTTCATTTTCTGCTAACATCACTTAAAAACATAGAAAATAAAAATAAATACTGTTAAATATAAAAATTTGTTCCCCCAGAACCAAATAATCAAGAAATTACTCTCACTACTGTAGACTGAGTATCTAAGACACTAAACTATACTTATGTTTTATAAAGGACTATAAGTATGCTTGCTCTTACAGGTAACTAGTGTAAAAACTTAATTATTCTCACATGATAACTATAAGGATCAAAAGGAATATTAAGTCATCTTTCTGTGTCAGTGGTAAACCACAACACAATTACTGGTTAGTCATGTAACCAACTATTATTTACAGAGATTAACACTTACATGAACAAAGAAGGGATGGATTATACGACAACTATGAAAAGCAGATGTGAGACCCCAAAGACTAAAATCTAAAGCCATTTAGATTGAGAAAAAGGCCCCTGAAAATTTTCACATATTCCAGTTCCATTATGTAGAGTTAAAAAGTATTGGTATCACAAATCTAACTTGATAAGAGACTAATAAAACAAATGTAAAATGACCTTGGCTTAAAAAATACCTATGTACTGGGGCTGGGAAGGTGGCTGAGTGGTAGAGCGCTTGCCTTGCATGCCTGAGGCCCTGGGTTCGATTCCCAGCACCACATAAGCAAAAAGAAAAAAGCCGGAAGTGGTGCTGTGGCTAGAGAGCTAGCCTTGAGCTGAAGAGCTGAGGGACAGCACCCAGGCTCAGAGTTCAGGCCCCACGACCGGACCCAAAAAAAAAATAGCTGTGTACTTTAGAAAGATTTATCCAGAATGCTTCAAAACAATGACAATGTTGGAACAAGTTATCATAAATCTATATATGTATGGAAAGCTCAGTTTCTTAAAATGATAAGGTTTTTTTCTCAGGGTTCTCCATGGCTGAGTTTTAGATAGATAGACAGATAGATAGATAGATAGATAGATAGATAGATAGATAGATAGATAGATAGATAGATAGATAGATAGATAGATAGATAGATGGATAGATAGATAGATAGAGATAGAGATATTACATTAAATGGTAATGAGGATATTTTGCTTATATATAATTACTTAAAATGAAATTTTAATGTTTAGACACATTTGACACATTACACTAATTTTGATCATTGTACCAGATCCTCCAAACTAATGACAACATCGTCTTCATTCAGAAAAGCAGCATGAAGATAATTGTCTTAGGGTTTTCCACTTCATTTGCATGGCTAATTAAAATATTTGTTTTTTTCATGTCTTTAACATTGTAATTGAGGATAGATATATATGTCATATATCATATATATATATAATACATACAAGCTTTTGTAAATTTTTATTTTTAGAAACTGCCTCTCCAAGACAAGGAAATATGTATACTTTGTCAAAAGACAGTTTACCCAATGGAGTGCCTAGTAGCAGACAAGCAGAGTTTTCATAAGTCCTGCTTTCGATGTCACCATTGCAACAGTAAACTGAGGTAAAAATGTTTTGTGCCCCATGGAACAAATATTCAAAGATCTTTCAATGTACACACAATATCATATCTCTAGGGAGATGCAGTATTTTCCAGATTAAGCTGCTATCACCAGTTAATACCACTGCACAAAGGGATTTGCTCATGCTCTGTTTTTATCACTTGGGTTAGCTAGACCATTTCTCCTTTTGGAAGTTTGCTTTTCTGATCAAATCAAGAGGTACCCTTTATTTAAACATAAAAATTACATGGCTAAGAAAACTTCAAAATTATGGTGGAATCCAGTATTTTCAAATTCGCATTTTAGTCTAAAGTCTGAACTCTAGAGAAGGAATTGGTAATAATTTTCTGTTCAGAGCAGATAATAAGTATTTTTGCTTTGTAGGATAGGCTCTTTCTATACTTACTCAGTTTCCATTGATGTGCAAGAATAAAGAAAAAGATGAATGTGTCTCTAACTGAATAGACCTAGCTGTGTTTCTAGTAAAATCTTGAATATGATAGCCACTGAAAAGTTAGTTTTCCCATATTAAAACTAAAATATATATAAATTAAAAATAAAATTTAGAGTATCAGAGGAACCTTTTTATTCTCTAAAACAATGGAAGTACCCTGTCAACACAGTTCCAAATGCACACATTTTCCAAATCTCTTGAAGAAAACGCATTTAAACTAATGTGACACTCAGTATGACTGTAGGTTGAGATGCTAAAATGGGACTTATTTGCTGAATCTGATGTGAATCTCTCAGATTCTGGCTTTCCTGATTTTAATTGACACTGTCAAACATCCTTCATTGTGACATCCTTTTCCCTTGGTTTCCATGACAGCACAGGATATTTTTTTTCTTATTTCTGAGTTTTCTGTCTAAAGCACCTATGTGGGTGACTCTCTTTGTAACAACATGTTAGACTTCCCCAGAATCCTGTTATGGGAATTTATTCTTCTTACAGTTCCTATTCTATTCTTTCTATTGAATCCTATCCATTCCCATGACATAAATTATAATTCATGGTGTAAGGACTCTGAAATCTATACTTCTAGCCAGATTTCTCCTCTGTGCATCAAATGTTGATAATTTTGGACTAGCATATTTTTCCACATAGTATTTTATCCCAGTATGACAAACTTAATATGATTCATCTTCTCTCTACTGAAGTTGCTTCTCTGACAGTGTAAGTCTCTACACAATTATATCAGTAAGTGACATTAATATTAACTGAATGACTAACACATTATGTAATCTTTGATTCACTTCTCTTCTTCATTTTCTACATTCAAGCCATCACCAAATCCCTGTAATTATAGGACTCATAATTACTTCTCCAGCTGTGCATATTTCTCCATCCTCATAGTCTAGCTATTCTTCAAGCACGTCATCTTCCATGTGGAATAACTCTACATTCTACATAAGTGGTCTTTCCAGTATTTCTTAACACCAATACCAACAACCTTTCCCAATGGTGACATCCACATCGTCACAAAATTATTTCTCTAGAATGCAATCTTGAGGTCACATCTGTGTTTAAAATATGTAATAGCTTTCCATGTCTAATAAAAAGTAATATTAAAGAGTAAATTGAGAAGCAATCCAATTCAGGATATGATCCCGGTTTATTTCTAATACCTCTTTCATTCGTACTACAGCTTATTTACATGATAATTTTCTAGCAGAATAAATACATTTTTCTTTCCCCAAACCATCAGTTGTCTATTTCACATCTAGTTGGTTCCAGTATTGTTTTTCTGATTGTAGAATTTGTTCTCACCACTCTTCAGCTCGAGACCAGGCCAATATCCACTCATTCTTCAGACATCAGAGGAGACCATATAAGCCATGAAGCCTGATTCAACCCCTTGGATAGGCAAAGTCTCCTTCCCCTATTTTCTGCAGCATCCTTTCACTAAATCAAACATAATTAGATTTGCTCCCATCATTGTGTTAATGCTTATCTTCCCAATATCTAGTAAAGACTGACATGTAATGAGGAGCCGAAAAGCATATATTCAATAACTGGTATTTCAAGAAGCATACCTATTGTACCAAAACCAAAACAAAACCACACTCGTAGAATTATTATAAAATGAGTATTTTGCAACTACTACTAAAGTCAAGAAATACAGTTTTCTGGCCACTCCAGAAGCCTCTTTTATGTGCTCCATCATAAATACAACTGCTTTAGCCTTATCTATTGTGTGGGTGTGTGTTTGCACACATGTGTGTGCCAGTCCTGGGGCTTGAACTCAAGGTGTAGGCACTGTCATTGAGCTTTTTTTCTTTCCTTTTTTTTTCTTTTTTGGTGGGGCCTGAACTCTGGGCCTGGGCTCTGGCCCTCAGCTCTTCAGCTCAAGGCTAGCCCTCTACCACTTGAGTCATAAACCACAGCTTATTGTTGGTGATTAATTGGAGATAAAAGTCTCACAGACTTTCTCATCCAAGATGGCTTCAAACTACAATCCTCAGAGCTCAGCTTGAATAATAGAATTACATCATGAGCCACTTGAACCAGGTTATCCTTGTCCACTTAAAAACAAAATTGAGGGGCTGGGAAGGAGGCTTTTGGTAGAGTGCTTGTCTTGTAGGCATGAGGCCCTGGGTTTGATTCCTCAGCACCACATAAGCAGAAAAAGCTGGAAGTGGCACTGTGGCCCAAGTGGTAGCCTTGAGCTGAAGAGATGAGGGACAGTCCCAGGCCCAGAGTTCAGGCTTCATCCAACAACAATAACAAAAAAATGATATGCTTTTTAATCTTTTTATAGTATATGTATTTCCCTTCCATTTTTATCTTCAAATTTATTTGGAAAGGTCTAAGGACATTTGACATGTAGGTTGTCAAGAATTGTTGATTTCACACTCACAACACTCAGAGTATTATTAAGGACTTAAACCTCTGCAGTTCCAAACTGTTAGATGGGTGAGATCCAAGCTTGATGCTTTCTTCAAGATAATGTTGAGAAGAGCATAGTAAATACATGTTTGTTTATCTCTCATTCTGTGATCTTAACAAATGTTGAGACATAATAACTACATTCACCTTTTGATGTTTGTAAAATGCTGTGTTCTAATTCTGTTATCTTTGTCACTTCTTAGGATACTTCTACAAACACACTTCCTATTACAGTTGAGTAAATACACAGTGGCACACTTGGTATAAGAAGGAAAATAAGCTCATGGAATTATCAACTTATTCCCTTTTTTAGCAATTAGCATATTATTTGTCCAGCAAGATAATTTAATTGTTTCTTATGGTTCCTTGGAGGTAACCAATTGTTTAAGAAATATTTCTATCCTTATAGATTCGTGAACTTAGCTATATTTGATTAGTTTCAATCAAATATAACAATTAACCTTATTAAAGCCCAAATTGTCCTCTCCCTGGTCAGTGAGTGCTTAATTGAGATGTCTCCTGAGTCTTTTTGACATGGCCTTAGTCTCATTCATCCATTCTCTATTGTTTACATTATAGTACTATATCTACTGTTCAAATCATACAGACCATACATGTCATGTTTAATTCTGTGCCTCATTTAATCTTAGTTTGCAGGAAGTAAGTTATTAATGCTTGTCAATAATCCTGGTGTTGATATCTGTGTAATTATTGTGTTTATTAAGGCTTGTTCTCTACTAGATTCTTCATAAAATATTCATGGATACAGTAAATTCTCACATACTAGTAATACTTGGTCTGCTATGCTTATGGCAAAAAGTCAGCTTTTAAATTAAAATCCTTGTAACTTTCACTTATTTCACTAGGTATTCTAAATGTATTATTTAATTTTCTTCTGGCATAAAATGTTGAAGTAGTCTGATGATGAGGAAATTTTCCTTGGACATATTATTCTTCTTAATATACTTTCTTTTTATTTAATGTTTAGTAATTTATTAAATTAGTACTTAGTTTTGTGTCATTCTGGGTCAATAATGTCAATTATGCAATCATTTCAAAATGTCATTACCTATTTTTCATATTAAGGAAGTTTCTTAATTATAGAATTCAGTATTTAATGTGTTTTATTACTTTGGTTTTTCTTCTTCAGGACACCATTTTTGGCTATTCAATGGCTTATTTGTTCCTCACTTTAATATGAATCACCATACACCAAATCCTTTCAATTTTATGATTTCTTTTTATCAGTGCTTAATTTTTTTATTCATTTATTCTAAAGCACTATTGTGTTTATTCAACATTCTCTTTTATTTGTTTAGTTTTATTGATGAGATATTTTCTCTTATTTCTTTTTTTTTTGTCGGTCGTGGGGCTTGAACTCTGGGCCTGGGCGCTGTTCCTCAGCTCTTCAGCTCAAGCGCTCTACCACTTGAGCTACAGCGCCACTTCCGGTTTTCTGGTGGTTTATTGGAGATAGGAGTCTCACGGTCTTTCCTGCCCGGGCTGGCTTTGAACCACGATCCTCAGATCTCAGCCTCCTGAGTAGCTAGGATTACAGGCGTGAGCCACCAGCGCCCGGCTATATTTTCTCTTATTTCTATTTTTCCACATTTTTAACTTTTTCTTATTTCTGAAGTCACTTGTGAATTTTTTTAGGTCACTTTTGTGTTGTTTCCACTTTTATCATGTTATTAAGATTTAAGCTTGTATTAAAATAGTGGAGTTTTTTCTAATTTTTGAGCATGTCTTATTTCCTTAGAATAATTTTACATAGCGTTTTTCCTAGATTTTGCTGTTTATAATTATAAGAAATAATTTTTACCAATTCTTCAGGATTTTAAGGCTTTACTTATTTCAGAGACCTACCTATTTTAGTTTTCATACATAGCTAACAACAATAAGATGCCTACAATTGCAGGATTTTTCTGGCTCATTTTCACTCCCTTATCTTGATTCAGACACTTTTGTTATATCTACTTTCATTATCCTGTTCCGATTCCCCTCTTACATTTTCTCTCTCTTTAGTTTATCTTCAAAAACTGGATACTAGGGGATCCTTTTTGAGAGTTCAGCTTC